AAATTCTATTACAATGTCAAAAAAAAAAAAAACAAAAAGAGAAAAGAGGGAAAAGACAATAAATTCACACTTTTATGTTGTGACCCTGATAACGAATGAAGGAGGCCTGTCACACCTTTAAATTCAAATTTGGGCTTGCATCGAATGACCCCATCAGACCCAAAAGGCTTCTTCGGCTTTGTTTAAAACTTGAAGCAAACTTTTACTTAACCAACAATTCAAGTTCTGATGCAAAGGCTGAAAACAACACCAAGGTACAGAGATCATGCGGGAAGGTTTCAAAGCCCAGGAGCCAATTTAGCATTTGTCTTAACAGAAAATGTCAGTGTATATTTTCGCTAAGTCAAATCTATATACAATATGAGCAACATTAAAACCATTATCTTTGGTCACTGATTAACGATGACTTCTTAGAACTGGTGTAAAACCAGTGTGTTTGACTTGAGCTTGGAAGGTTGAGTTGGTCCAAAACCTGAACTGGGTGGTGTCATTCTCTTGGGTAGGTTGAATTCGTCTGCTCTCTTAATTCTTTTCCATGGTGTATCCAACACTAAACTTGAAAATGTCCACATTATATCATTACCAAAACCTCTGTCAAGATGTTTCCTAGCAGCATCAAGTTTGGTGGAAACCTACCACTTTCTACTCGCCCAAACATTCCCAAAGTTTTCAACTTCATTTTGGCACTTTGCAATTGACTTCTTAGGTTAGTGTAAAACCAAAAAATACCTAACTTTAGGCCAAAACCCATGCTCATCTTAACAGAGGTTTCTACTGCTCCAGCAAGTTTCCTCCTCAACATCATTGAAGATCCCAAGCCAAAACCAGTATGTTTTCTATTCAAATTGTGAAAGTGTAACCATCACACAAGCATTTTTAAAGCATACCCAAAACTGGAGCCGGGCCAATGATAAGGTTCTACTCCAAGGCTCCTCTGCAATAGTGCCAAGAAAAGGACCCAGCCAAGGGCCAAGTATTACCTCAGCCTCAATGGGCTCCCTTTACCACCCACCGACACAGCCCAACCCTCAAGTCTCAATCCTTGTATTTATGGGAAGACTTATCCTTTTAATATCCCTTTGTAATTATCCACAAAGCTTTGTCCCTCTCATTCCTACAACATGCTTGAAAAGAAGTCATTGCCGGCTCTCTATCAATGTTTAAAACTCTAGTGCATACATTTTACTTCTCTTTCATAGACTCACATGTTATTAAACATTGTCTAATTTTTAAACAAAATCTTGAAGTTCAAAGGAAAAGTAGTATCAATGGAGGACATAAACAAAACGTAATCAGATGCCATCAACACAAGGCTTCTTCCTTTTTTATACTTCAAGGAACCTACAACCACTAAAAGTAACAAAGCTTTAATTTTAAATGATTTTGTTTGGAAGTCAGTGTACAACATTAGATTTCGATGGGCAGCAAGGTATTGCACCTTTCCACACGTTAAATTATTGAATAAAAAGTTCTGGTCAACATAGACTCATCAAGATCCCGAAGTCAACAAAACGGATGGCGCACGTTCATTGATGGCACGTCCACGCCAACATAGGATAAAATTAATCAGCTCAATTAATTAAAAAAAATTCAGTTATAGGCAGGGGAATTTTATAAAAATATGAAATGTGTGTGGAGAAGGGAATTGTCATTGGACACTGATTTGTTTAATTGATATGATATTTTAATTATTTTTTTGGTAATTTGAAAGAAATACAGGGGTCTCAAATGGAATAAAGATGGAAAAAAATATGTCACAAATTCCAGGTGGGCTCCTGCCGACGAAGCAAGATATAGCCTGCAAATGACAACGAGTCTGTAATTTAATAAAGAACCTTTTACCTTATAACACATGAAAAGACTCAATTAACCTCCTTTATAATATTGAAACTACTAATTTTTCATGAGAGATTAAAATTCAATATTTAAAAATCGGAATATACCATTTAGTGGCATGTGTTTCCTCTTCATTTTGCAGATAAATATGTTTTATTCATAATTAAGACTCTGATTGAATGATATTTTTGTTTTTAATTTTTTATTTTTTTGAAAATAAATAAAAAGAAAAATAACAAATAATGGTGTTCAATGGTTATTTTTTAGTGCTGTAAACGATATAAAAAGAAATGATAAACATTCCGTACAACTGTTGGGTTGTTATTGAGAAAAACCCTTCCTAATCCCATTATTAAATGAGATTAATTATTTATAATCCCTCTAACGTTCCTAGTATTATATTTTAGTATACGAAATCAGCACTAGTTTATCTCCGACTACGAACCGATATATTGAAGAAAGGTACGAGGGCAACCTCGTCAAATCAAAAAAAGAATGACGGCATCATCGTCTAAAAATACAATTTTCCAGATAAAAATATATCTAAGGAAAAAACAAAATTACCCTCGATTTATCCCTCTCTTCTAAACGCTTCAAAATCTTCGTCTCTAAGCTCCCTCTCCAATTGAAAATTCATTTCCATTTTTGAAATTTAGCTTTCGAAATCTCAAATCTCTCTCTCGCTCTTTTACTCTCCGAACACAACAACCGGATCTCTCTTCTCTCTGCAATGTCTATTGATTCTGAGTGCAAGATCCCCTAACTCCGTTCCTCCGTTTGATCAAATCCGTTTTGTTTCTCGACTCAGTGAGTCAAACTGCCATTCCTCGACTTTTTATACGAAGGGAGCCGAAGAATGGGGGCGGTGCCTTCGACGCCGCGCCACACCAGCACCACCACCGAAACGGCGGAGTACCTAATCGGCACCTTCGTCGGCGAGAAATCGTTTCCTTTGGCTTCCGATTTCTGGCAGAAGCTTTTGGAACTTCCTCTCACTCTCGGCTGGGCCCCTCACCGTGTTCGCCAGGCTTGCCAGCTCTTCGGTCGGTGCTTTCTCTCCTAATTTCGTAAACATTTCAATTACAATTTTTTTGGAATAATTAGTGGAGTAATTTAGTGCTTACTTTTCTATAATTTGCAAAATGCAACCATTTAGAGAGTCGGTCTTTAGAGCTTCTGCTTGAATCTTATCGTGCGAGGAATTTTATTGGCTGAAAATTATATTATCTCAAAATATCTCAATGTTATATAACATATTTGTTTTTATCTTTAGATATTTCATCTTACTAAGATGATGACATATACTCTCTATTATGAAACTATACTCAACTTCCAAACTTAGCAAACTGAGCTAAGTGAATTATATTGATCAAATTCCAAATTGAACTATTATCTTGTGAAATTCATTTGCGAATTCATAACTCTTAACAACTTCATCTCAGTCATTATTAATTTTGAACAGCTAATTTTATTTTAAGTGTTTATTATGATACTGATTTTGTTGCTGTGTGCTGGATCTTTCACGTGCAGCACAAAACAACCGCCATACTAGGCACCTTGCAAAGATTCTGATTCACTTGTCATGGTGTTTACAAGAGGCAATTCAAACTTCTGGTGCTCCATCCCCGGTTTATATGAAGGCTGTTAATGCAGTGTACATTTCATCTGTGTTTTTGAAGTACATAATTGAAAATTCTCAGAGTGAGACCATTGGGGATTTACGTTTGTCTCTTAATGAAAATGAACCGGTGCCTAAGGATTTTGTGGCAGGTAAATATTTGACTCTTCATCATCATTTGTTTACCAGTTTTGAAATTAAAGTTTGTAACTATGGATCTTGCAAATTGTTATTTTACTGGTAAATAGCATCATGAACTGAAGCTTTTATTTCTAATGTGCAGATCAAAGCATCGAGAATCTTGTAATGTATAATGTGCTTACCTTTATCGGTTCAATAGATGTAAGGTACATCATGGCTTAATAATATATTCTAACATTGACATTTCCATTTAATTTTTCTCCTAATAGTATATTATTTCCCTCGCAAGTCCAACTACGTCCCTTCTACATCAGGAGCTGCTTAACTTCATGCTTGTTACGATGTCAACTCAACTTCTTTCTGGACCATCGCCAGGGCCGAAAGATGTGAATCCTTTTATTGATGCAGCAATGTCTCAGGTTACAAATTTAAACCTTAAGTTGAAATTTTGGTTCCAAAATTTTCAAATTTTGCATACTCATTCTTTGCTTTGCAGGAAAGTTTGCTGGTGTCTCTGGTGGTTCGTAGGTTGCTGCTCAACTATATAATGCGACCTCGTGTTCCCTCAAGCAGTGCTGCTTCTTACTCTATTTTTTCTGAAGAAAGTCAACCTGGCGTTTTACAAAGAGTTGGCTCTGCTGCTGGTATGGTGTTTTCCTTGATGCTCTGATTAATTTTGTTTCCTAATCTGTGTGCAATACTGCAGGCTTCTTGTACTATAAAACGTTTATGATAACATTTGTATGTTATGCTTGCAGCAAGCATTGTATTGTTGCCATTCAATTATTGGGTCAGTTCAAATGGTGAAGGCTCTAGAAATCAACTGGCAGACTGCGGTCTTCATGTGCTACTTATTCTTATTCATTACCATAAATGCGTTGTAAGCGACGAGTCTATAACAGATAGAAGTGATGACAGTGCCACCTCAGATTCTGTTTCAAAAGTGAATACATATTTTATTGCCAATCCCTACAGCAAGGCCTTAGAAAATGCAAGGGATATTGAATGTGAGATGACATTTCCTTTTTATAATAATAGGATTTTATATGTAATTTTATCTTTCTACTTTTGTGCATGCATGTCATTGTGATGGCATGTTAGACATTGTTGGTGAATCTATAAGTACTCTGCTTGCAGTTGATCGTCTTGATGTTGAGGGGAATGCACAAAATGGACCAGCCGTGAGATTACCTTTTGCATCCCTATTTGATACCCTTGGCATGTGAGTGTCTTCCACTCTAATTTCAATATGTGAATGAATAAAATTTCCTTGACAAAATTATTAAGGCTTTCCTTTTCCTTTGGTATTCATAGTGGGCAACATTGGCAATAACTTTTTATGATTAGTTCTTTGTTCCTGTTAGTTTTCACTATCATTTTGCCAAAAATGGGTTCTATTTCCTTGGTAATGGTTGTTGGCTTTTGTTTTTGCCTCTTCCTTTTCCTTCTCAACTAATGATTTTTTTAAATTTGTTGTTCCAAGAAAATTTGACTTAAGCATAAGTGAATGCTGTGCTACTTGTAAATATCTTTGAAACCACTTTTCTATCTTTTATGGCTCCTCTCTCTTTCTTGTGGAGTATTTCATAACAGGCGCACATCTGCAGGTGCTTGGCTGATGAGACTGCTGTCCTTTTACTTTACTCTTTAGTGCAAGGAAACTCTGACTTTTTGGAGTATGTACTAGTGCGAACCGATTTGGATACATTGGTAAGAATCTGCAGCTTACATTTTCTGCATTTCATATATAGCACTAAGCAATTTCCTTTGCAAAACTACCTTCAAATCTATGTGCAGCAAGACATAAATTTGGGCAGGTGTCTGGTTGACGCATTTAAAAGGTTTTTTGGCCTCTCCTACGCCCCTTCTGCCAAAAAAATGAAGGGAAGAAAGAATGAGCTTGAGTGTTTGTAGAATTTATGTCAGGCACTCAAGTCAATAAATTGCATGAGATTTCGTCCATTCTTTTATTTAGTTTATTGGTTCATTCTTTTACTGAGTTGAGCCATAATTGTTCTTACTAATTCTTTGATATGGGCTGGTGTGTTGTTTATACAGTTTGTGGCATATAGTCACACCTCAGCCTAAGTATATTATGTGGCATATCACATGGTCTTAATCTGTTTGCACTATGAAAATTAACAGTTGATGCCCATCTTGGAAACATTATATAATGCTTCGAGGAGGACATCAAATCAGATATACATGTTGCTGATTATACTCCTCATACTTAGTCAAGATTCTTCATTCAATGCAAGTGTTCACAAGATGGTAAGCATCTCATCTGTTAGCAACTTTTGACTTTGATGCATGATTATTATCTTGATGTGTTATATATATGGACAGATACTGCCAGGTGTTCCATGGTATAAAGAGCACCTCCTTCATCAGACATCTCTTGGTTCCCTGATGGTCATAATACTGATAAGGACAGTACAATATAACTTGTCTAAGTTGCGGGTATGGCTCAGAATGTCTTAACTCTTACGTGACAATGTATGTTTACTGAAGTAGGATCCATAATAATTTTGTTGAATAGGCTGAACTTCTCTCTTCATGTGTTGCTAGCGATAATGAGTATTTTAACTTAAGGGCAGTGAATTGATGAGATGGACTCTACATCTGTTAATAATGTGTTAATTTGGTTACCATAAGGGGCAGTTAATTTTTCTTCTTTTTAAATGAACACACAGGATGTCTATCTCCATACTACTTGCCTTGCAACTTTGGCAAATATGGCGCCTCATGTCCATCGTCTGAGTGCATATGCTTCTCAGAGACTTGTCAGCCTTTTTTATATGCTTTCACGCAAGTAAGTCATCTATGTATATATTAACTTTAATTAATCATTGGGTGATTCTTACATATGTTGTTATGTTTGCACTGTGTTTTTAACTGTCTTTTCAAATGTGTATTTGATATTAGGTACAACAAATTGGTAGAGCTAAGAGATGATAAACTGCAAACCAAAGCCATCTCAACAGGGGACGGTCTTGTGGAAGATATGGTAGTTGTCCTGGTTCTTACATGTAATCTAGCACTTTCTAAAAGTTAATGCTATCTGGGTATTTTTAAGTAATATTTCTTCCCCTTGTTGCAGTCAGCAGAATTGCAAATTTATACTGACTTCTTGAGAATCGTCCTTGAAATATTAAATGCAATTTTGACTTATGCACTGCCACGGAATCCTGAGGTATATCTTTTAATAAAGCTATATGAGATTATTTTTTTTAAGTTCTCACCAACACTTTCGAACATGGATCTGAAAATGAATGTTTATGCTTTTGGGCAGGTTGTATATGCCATTATGCACAGGCAGGAAGTCTTTCATCCATTTAAGAACCATCCTCGCTTTACAGAGCTGCTTGAAAATATTTACAATGTATGCTTTATGACTTTATGTGAGGAAACTCATTGTTTAATCTCCTATTCTTGGTTGTTATCAGAGAAACTGTTCGGGAATTCATTGAATATTAAGATTTCCTAATGTTTTTCTGCATGCCTTTTGATTGTTTTGACGTCTTTGCCTTTTATAGGTATTAGATTTTTTCAACAGTCGAATGGATGCCCAGAGGTTGGATGGTGAATGGTCCGTAGAAAAAGTTCTCTTGTTCATAATTAATAATTGTCGATCTTGGCGAGGTGAAGGGATGAAGGTAGAATTAAGTGAAATTATATTGCTTAATTTGGAAATAGCGAAGTTCTACACACACACACACGCTAAATCCTTTTGTTATCAAGCACAGCTCCTACCAATTCAATGTGATTTTTAACTCTATGCGGACAAATTGGTGCTCTCTCTCCCTCTAGCCTATTCTGCAGTTTTCTTCACCTAATGTAGAACTATTTCTAATTGACAGATGTTTACTCAGTTACACTTCTCATATGAACAAGAGAGTCATCCAGAGGAGTTCTTTATTCCATATGTGTGGCAGCTCCTCCTATCCCGCTGGTAACATTCTGCACCTTAAAAGAAGTATAAATTGAAATGTGGAGGGAAAAATGTTGTTCAGGTTATTGGCAGTACTCGGTTTAATAATTCGTATTGCTAAACTGTCTCTTTGTGACCTGCCCTTTTGACACTGTTTTAGCTCTTAATTTATACTCTACACATGATTGTCACTTTCTCACTGATATCTACTCCACTATGCCTTTTTTTTTTTCTACAGTGGATTCAGTTTTAATGCAAGTGCTATAAATTTGTTCCCTGTTGATCTGCAGGCTGATGTAAGCATACGAATCTCCTCTAAAATTTCATGAAAGCTAATATAGGATTCGCATTTTAGAGTTTCCTTCATATAATTCGTTCACACTGTATTAAACTTATTTCACACCTTCGAATCTAGTTTCTGAGGATGGTAGAGGCATACTCTGGTGCAGCATGTGATGGTTTTTCTTTTATTTGTTTGTCATCTTAATCAAAGGTGTTTAATATGTACTCTCCGGTAAATTTTGATAAAGTTGCAGGGGAAAATTAATCAACCTTATTTTTGGTTCCTGACTCCTGATTTTTCATTTACTTTCCTGCAGAAACAAATTTACTCTGGAGGAGAACCCAATGCAAATCAAAGTGGAGAGTTGAATGAACACGAAGTTCAGCTCGATCCATAGAGGGCATGATATAACTGACGCTTCTTCTATGCGTGTATGGTTCTCGGTGTATTTGTAAATATATAAAAGAAAATAGCAGAAAATGTATTCTTCTCATTCTTTCTCTGTTTATATGTTGGAAACACTGTAGAGGCCTTTTCGAGGTAGATATATTTTTAGAATCCTTGTATGAAATAAGAGAGGATCGGTGATTCCATTTCTATAATATAATTCTCAGGAAAAAAAGAAAAGAAAAGAAAATTCATCCGCCGCTTTTCCACTTGACTTCAGATTAGTGCTTCAAGCTGAGGTCGATTAAGTTTGTACTTAGTTTCGAGGGAGTTTAAGATTTTTATCACTATATTGTTGGGAAATAAGTGTCTTCACCTCCATCGTTGATCTTAACCATAACAATAAACATAACCAAAATGTCAATCAAAGAGAGGTTTAACAGGAAGGAAACTTCATTTCCTGTCCATTTTGCGAAGTTACATAACTGGTTGATAATATCTCCACATACATGTCTGCATTATGTCTATAACCTAAAAAGGAAAACAAAGTTACACTAGGGTTCCGCCCTTCACATATTCAGTGAAGGCCAAAGCAACAAGTCCCAGCATGGCAAATCTCCCGTTCCACAGCTCAGCATCTGACGTCATGAAGCCTCCAGACTTGGACTCTGCTGTGACACCTCTAAACAATGGGATCAGGGATGCAAGCGATACCAAAATGCTGGTTCCAAGGAACAGTGGGATCCCACCGTCGGATATCTGGGTGAACACATCTTGGCCCTTGGAGAGCTCCACTGCCAGGGCTGCGACAAACCCAACCATCGCCAGCCTGCCGTTGATCCTCTCCGGTGCAGGTCCACTGAATGCCAACACATCAGAGAATTTCGTGCTCACTTTTGGTGCGGCTGGAGAAGGGTTCGGCTTAGGTTCTTGTGGGGGTGCACTTGTTACAGGCGTTGTTGGTTGCTCCTTCGGTTCTTCCTGCAAGTGCAAAATCGAATCATTTAACCGGTTTATTCCCATATCTCAAATCTTGGAACCAGGACGTAAGAAAACATGAGCTTCAGAAACTCACCTCTGCTACGCATCGAACTTGAAGATTGGCATTCCTCTGAAAACGAGGCACAGATTTTACAGGAAAAAATTGGATTATCCTACCCCTATTAGCAAGGCCAGTCACATGACCTGCCAACAGGAGGGATTGCATGGCACTTGATGCAGCCATTTTCTAGCACGTCTAGGATTTCTGACCTGAACAAGAATAGCAAAAGCTAGGGAAGATCTTTGAGGAGCTATGAAGCAAGAAGCCAAGAACTTTATTAACCTATAGCTTAATCAAGCAAATGCAGTTTAGTATAACTACTAGTTCGTTGCAATGAATGAGGATGGGCAGCATTAAACTTATAGAGGAGGGGCAAGGGAAAAAGGGGTAGTGGATACTTTTGGGTCCACGTCGTTGCGAATCTAATTTTCGAAAGGGTGTGAGTCACGTGGGCTTGTTTGTCCACACATGATGGAGTTTGGTGACGTGGGCTTCTTAGTGACCAGAAAGTGAGAGCAGTGAATCTGAGGCCACTGGCATTCTAGGTTGTGGGTTCCGTAACAGCCAGAACATTCTGGTCTTTTAGGATGGGGCCTTTATCCTTTTCTCGATTCTGGAAAGAAGCTTCTAGGCTCTTGGATGTTGGGCAAGACATGCATGCACGTTCCTCCGAAGATGCTGGGACGGAACATCAGAAGTGTTGGGCCTTGATTTCAAGATATTGATGATGGATCATGTTCGGGAACAAGTAAACTAGTTAACTGATCTGCCATCTTAAACTAGGGTGGCAACAATAGAAGATAGCAAGCCTCTAGTTACCATTTCATTTAAATTGTTGAGTGAACACTAGAATCAGTATAAAAGGTTTTAAAGTACATTAAAGTCAAATATGTTGAAGATACTGTAGAAATGGAACAGATAAAGTTGCATAGTATTGTGGCTTTTTCTGCTTCCTTAATTTCCAAATGTTCTGATGCCTGGAGTCCTGACCTTTTATTTACTATAGTCTGCAGAAACAATTAATTTTACCATGGAAGGGAACCCAATACAAATCGAAAGAAAAGGGCAGTTGAATGAACAAAAACAAATGGTTCAGTTTGATCCAGAAACAGGAATTGTTCAGGGCCCTTTCCATATTGGCTTCGACTTTTAGCTTACCAGATCGTATATGCACTAGATATACTTCTATTTTTAACTTCTCTTTCCAACAGATCAGTTTTATTAAGAGTATTCTAACTAGTTCTAACTAGATTTCACTTCCATTTGATGTAAATAAACAAGTACATAAGATCTTCACATGTTGACCCTTGAAACATTCAATGAATACCAAAGCAAGAAAATCCAACATGGCAAATCTCCCATTCCACAGCTCAGCGTCGGAGGTGAAGAACTCCACCGAACTGGACTCCACTTTGACCCCCTCAAACAACGGGATCAAAGATGCAACCGTTATCACAATGCTGCTTCCGAGTAACCATGGAATCCCACCGTCGTATATCTGAGAAAACAGGTCCTGGCCCTTGGATAACTCGACCGCAATGGTTGCAACAAAGCCAATCATCGCCGCCCTGCTATTGATCCTCTCCGCTACTGCTCCACTGAATAACACATCAGAAATGTTAGTGCCCGCTTTCGGTGCTCCTATTAAATGCGCCTCCTCCTCCTCCTGAAAGAGCAAAAAAGGGGGTTTACGTAAATATCAAAACCATGCATCATGCATGTTCAAATGACCAGGGAAACTAGCAAATCAATGAACGTACCTCTCCCAATCAGCGTACGCAAGCATCGGCGTTCCTTTGTAAACGAGGCACAGATTTTAGTTTTACAGGAAAAAACTGAATGGCCCTACTTCTTTTAGTAAGGTTTGTACTCAGAGGACTTGCCAGGAGCAATTGCAACAGCCATTTTTGCTTTGAACAATTAGGTAGTAATTGAAATGATGAAAACTGTGATTAAAAACATAGCATGAAGCCAAGAACTTGTTATTGCTGATATAAAGCTTTAAGCAACTCAACGCAGTTTAATTACTACTAATATAACTAGTTCATTGCATTGACGTAAGGCTGTAAGGTTCGTTAGCATTGCCATTTTATAGAGTGGCAAGTGAGAAAAAAGGTTGTGGTTCATTTTGGGTCCGCGTCTAACTTTCAACAGCGACTCAATCATGTAGGCTTGTTTGTTCTCACATGGAGGAGACGTTTGTGACCTGGGCTTTACTTTTGCCAGAATGAGATCAGAGCCCATTAGCTGATCTAGGTTATAGGACATGCTAGCTATCCTCTTTGCCTGGGGCTTGGCCTATTTGGAATGCATTTCTCTTCTAATAGATAGATCAGGAGTGTGATTTTTCCTAGTACAGTTAAAACTTTTCTTTGACTTAAAGTTTTATTCTGAAAGATTGTAGTTGCCATGTGCAATGATTCTTTATCTCTAGAAACCCTCACTAAAGCAGCAGATGTATAAAAAAATAATCGACAGACATTTGATTTAGAATCCCATAGACAGCAATGTGTATCAGAGTTCAAAGTAGAAATGGTTCAGACTATAGAGTAATTTCAAATCACAATGAGGCATTTCATGTCACCTTCATCGTTTGCTAGCATCGACGCTCAGCATAGAAGAAACCCAAAGAAAGTTTCACTTCCAGGGGCTCTGACTTTGGCAATCACTTTTTTGGGGTATTTGCAAGCTTATAACAATAATCAGCAAAAACATCATAATCTCTTAGGCCACTCACTTCTTCAACGGGCACTGCATCACCGATTTCTTTCAGATCTTCTTGTGTGAGCTTCAATGCCAAGGATCCTATGTTGTTTTCAAGGTTTTTAATCTTTGTTGTCCCTGTAAAATACAAGTAAAAAAAATGATAAGCAGCATTAATTTAGGCATGGGCAGAAATTGGGGTTGTAGCTTTGACAGAAATTTCATTGTTTAACCATGTTGAGACGGTACTTTGAAAGAAAAATGAGAGGCTGACAAACCAGGGATTGGAATTATGTCTTCTCCTTGATGAAGTAGCCATGCCAGAGCTAACTGAGGAGGGGTGCGTCCACGCTTTCGAGCCAAGTCTTCAAAACGGGCATATACAAGTTTGTTATTCTCTAAATTATCCCCTGTGAATCTTGGATGCATAGCCTGTGACAAGAATATCAATGTGAATTAAAAAAGGAGATCTTTCGTAAGAGAGATATAAGATGCATATAGTTTTCGTAAAAAAATTTTGAGATAACAACTGAAATTTAGAATATTTAACTCATATGCATTTGATGTACCAAAATACTTTCAGTAGGTAAGCTCTCAACAGTAGCCTTCCCACCAAAGAAACCTCGACCAAGAGGACTATATGCCACTATCCCAATTCCAAGCTCTCTGAGGAAAGAGACGTTTGAAGATTGAAAACAGTGAGACTTAACTTAAAGCTACAATATAGATTAGAAGATCAGAGTTCTTTATGAGTGAAAGAAACCTACATATCTACTTAATCGAGTGCAACATCAGAGCTAAATACTAACAAACCTGCAAAGTGGAATTATATCCTCTTCAATTTCACGAGTCCAGAGGGAATACTCCATCTCTAAAGCTGTAATAGGATGAACAGCATGAGCTCTCCTTATGGTGTCAACACTAGGTTCAGATAGCCCAATGTACTTTATCTTTCCCTCCTCTACCAGCTTCTTGAGTTCCCCCATCTGTCTTTGCAAATGCCAATTCAAATGTTTGATACATGAAGCAAAGTCATGAGCTATAATCAATGTAAAGGAAGAGTTGGCGGCATGGTATTGCTTACAGTATCCTCTATTGGCACTGAAGTATCTACACGATGCTGGTAGTAAAGATCAATATAGTCCACACCAAGCCGCTTAAGGCTAGCTTCACAGCATTTTCGCACATATTCAGGGGTCCCCTTGACGCCAAAGCTAAATCCCTCAAGCCTAATAATTCCAAATTTTGTTGCTAATTGCACTTTATCCCGTGGAAGCTGCTTCAAAGCCTGAGAAATGGAAAAAATGCACCAATATGTGTTAAGGAGAGGCTAGGGTTCCTTATATATCTTAGTCTAGTTGGTAAAGAGAGGAGTTCATTTTCCTTGTCAATCAGGGCTTGATCCTTGTGGAGAGCACTCGGTAACTAAATCTTGAATGCACCAGATTGATGTAGGTGAGTGCACCCTTAAAATTGTCCCAGGGGGATATTAGGTCCAAATAAAGCCTGAGATACCCTTGACCGTATTACCAAAGAAAATTATATCTTTATCAATACAGAAATTCAATTTAAGTTTGATCAATGCAGTTCTTGAACAAATTGGTGCCGTTAAGCCTTACTGTGTACTCTGACCAGTTTCCCTAACCTGTATTCTTTGATAAGTATAATTTGAGAACTTCAAATTCTTCTCCTTGATGCTCACGGTGAGTGCCCCTGCACCTCCTTTCTATACAATTTGTTAAATTAGCTAGTTTTATTTTTGGACTGGATTTTAGCAAAAAGGTTGAGGTTCTGTGTTTGGAGTTGCAGTGAGAAAGATACCTTTCCAACCATAATCTCGTTATGGTGATCATCGCCATAAAGATCAGATGTGTCAAAGAAGGTGATGCCCTTGGAAAAAGCCTCCTTTATAACAGAACACCCTTCTTCATGAGAGAGAGGAGCATTATATATTCCAGACAATCCTCCACAACCAAAGCCCAATCTAGAAACCTGAAATAGATATGGATGCTATTATTAGAAATAGAAATATTTCTTTCTTTTCTTGGGGGTGGAGGGGGTTGGATATAACAATACCATCAGAATAAACAAGTAAAACCATAATTCCTTAAAGAACTTTTCAAGTCACTGATGCAACTAATCTCCATGGCAATATGATCCCCAGGGAACCCCAAGTCCCCAACTCTCTGGAATAATTAACAAATTTTATTCAAAGAATTGTGAAGCCCCTTTATACGATCACTGGAAGTAATTGCCATAAAAAATTGCATGATTGGAAATTCAAACAATCAGAGTTTACTATCACATCATATCTGCTGGATGTCCTGGGCTGCTGAAAAATGGTGCTGACCATTAAAGGGTGATTCTCTTTGTCATGCTCGATATGATATGCTTCGTATAGCAGAGAACACCCGTTAATGGTATTTGAGTATTGACTAAATCCAGCTCAATGAGAGGGGCGAAAGGAAAACAAAAACTAAGGCTTACCTCCAATCCTTGACTTCCAAGTTTCACTCTTGGGATTTGAACTCGGCTTTCCTTCTCCATTTTCAGAGCAACCTGATCTTGGTTCAAGATTCTAACCGGAGGAAAATTGTAAAGTGCCAAACTCCTAGCTAGTAGAGAAATTAAATATTCTTCAATTGCTTATCATACCTCCATACTTACCAACCTTTCATTTTTTTTTATTCTTTTATTTTCTTTCAAAAAATCAATGATATGGCGCCAACCTTTATTATATTGATGGAGGGGTCACTTCCAGACGTGACATTCCACTTTTTTCGTGTATTAAAAAAGAAGCATCTTGGTCTGCTGAATGCTGGAAGTAACCCCATGGAAATCCTGGAAAGGCATGCCATCCTCTATTTTGAGAAGATTCTACAAATATCATGGTTCTTCATTATTTAGGATCTGCCTTTTGATGCAGTACAAGAATGTGAGAAGGCTGTGCCACATTCTTGTTACTCTCTGGATTTAAGGGCTTGACATTTTGATTCTACCTTCCTTGGTAGTTGTTGAATGACAATGTAGTTGATATCAGCTTCTTATCTTTCAAGTTCTCAACTAACCCTCAAAGCTTCTTTGGAATTATACTTCTTCCAAGGTGACAAGACATTATTTACACTTTCTTTGGAATGCTTAATGTGTCTCTGAGTGAGACAGTGCCCAGAAGCAAGAATAAATTAGTAAAAAAAATCAACTCGATTATCACAAAGCACCAAAACAATCACAAGGGAGATTATCATATCCAGAATCACTGCCTGGACATGCATTTTATTTGCCAAAAGTAAAAAAGAAACACTGTTAATTTTAGCATAATAACTTAGGCATCACACATGGACTTCTCTTTACCATGGAGATTTCTTCTGCCTAATTATGAGCAAGAAAATTGAACTACGTGGGAAAAAAGGCAACTTGCTTTAAACTTCTGTAATTTTATTCACTTTGATGGAGATTCCTTCTGGCCTCATTTATTTCTTTCATGTAAACTTTTTCTCTTTAATGGAGTATTGGCAAACTTCCAGGCATATTTAGATAAGACGCCTAAATCATTTTCGCCACTTACTTCATCAAGAGGCACAGCATCACAAATTTCTTTCAAATCCTCTTGCCCAAGCTTCAATGCCAGGGATCCAATATTGTCTATAATGTTCTTAACCTTAGTTATCCCTGCATAAATTCAAAACAATAATAAAGAAAAAATAAAGAGGAAGATTAATCCCATCACCATGCTGCAAACCATGTTGATGCAGAAGCATTGTACTCAAAATATGTGCAACGCTATTAAAAGGAAGCATTTCATTTAGAAAGTATCAAGAAAATCCATTGAATGACCTAGCAAATGCCCTGACCCTCCAGAGGGGGAGGGGTTTGGAATCAAATCCATATGAGTATGAAGACATTATTTGTGGAAAAAAGACCCTAGCATACCAGGGATTGGGATTATATCATCACCCTGATTGAGAAGCCATGCCACAGCAAGTTGAGGAACTGTGCAGGCATGCTTTATAGCTAGATTGGAAAGTCGGGTATATAGAAGTTTGTTCTTCTCTAGATTCTCCCCAGTGAACCTTGGATGATTTGCCTGTTCCAGGAATAACCCAATTTCTGTAGCTAACATTCTTTATATAGTTACTGCAAAAGTAATAAACTCTTATATGTAGAAAGAAAAATGCAGTTACTGAGAATTTGGTTTTAGTCTCATACCAACTGACTCCCATTGGCTAAAGTCTCCACAACTACCTTCCCACCAAAGAAGCCCTTACCTAGAGGACTATATGCCACTATTCCAATTCCAAGCTCTCTGTATGAGTAGATGCAAGAAAAGGTTGAAATTACTTAGAAAACTTATCTAAGGTATCGTAGGCCTCAATGCCTAAAACAAGTTCCGATATAGAACATAAAGCTATCAGCAATATAGAGTGTCTCACAAACTTGTTCTGTAAACTTCATGGCAAAATATCAGCATACCGGCAAAGTGGAATTATTTCATCTTCAATTTCACGGGTCCAGAGAGAATATTCCATTTGTAAGGCAGTGATGGGATGAACTGTATGTGCTCTCTTTATTGTATCAACACTAGCTTCGGATAGCCCAATGTATTTTATTTTTCCTTCCTCAACCAGCTTCTTGAGCTCCCCCATCTTTACAAGAAGCAAAGTGAAGCAATCCCTGGAGCTATAAGTTCTATTGCAGTTAAGCTAACAGAACATAAAACAAATGGTCTCCTGATACTTACTGTCTCTTCAATTGGTACTGAAGTATCCACACGGTGTTGATAGTACAGATCAATATATTCCACATCAAGCCTCTTAAGACTAGCTTCACAGCAAGCCCGAACATGTTCAGGGGTGCCCTTGACCTCAACTAAACGACGCCCCTTTGATTCTGATTTGATGATACCAAATTTTGTTGCCAGTTGAATTTTTTCTCGAGGAAGCTGCTTCAGGGCCTAACAATGCAAATAAAAGAAATTTGCTGATGAATGTAAGAATCTAAACGTTGCTTGGGCTGTAGAACATGTATCTTGGACAGATCACATTGAAGATACTCTATCTAATTGAATCAAAAGTTTCCCATGTAAATTAGGCAAAAGCTTAATGAACTTTTTCATATCAGTATTATCATTTGTTTTGGTGCATTTTCTTTGACTTTTGTCCCATTTGTTTTGCTGTATAATCATTCTTTATATCATTGTTCTATATAGGATTCGTCGTTGGGGAGGTTAATCTGGACTCCGGAGGAGAATATGATGAATTGTACCTTGCCAAGCATGATCTCATTATCATGTTTTTCACCATAAACGTCAGCTGTATCAAAGAAGGTGATACCCCTATTGAAAGCTTCTTTGATGACTGAACATCCATCTTCATGGGAGACAGGAGCATTATATATTCCTGAAAGTCCTGCACATCAAAGTCCCAATCTGGAAACCTGCAGGGTAGAAAGGAATATTATAAGGAAATAAAATTTCTCCAACATCAACGATAGCTATAATGAATGGAATCTGCAAAAACCATCTTGGAAATTGGAGGACTCTATTTCATTTAGTTCAAGCACCATGAAACTACTTAATCTTCATCTGACCTTCATCCATATGACACATCATTTTACATACCAGTCTACTGGAGTAAACTACTTCCAGATATCCCAGCCAATCAAAGCTACTGAAGCTATATGAGAAGTTGCTAGTCCAAGAAAATCCAGCCCATAACTCTGAGGTTAACCACTTTCAAACTAAATTTACCAGATCCAAAGACATGTTAAAAACTTAATGCAATTTAGAAATCATCAGAAATCGAAGAACTGCATCACTGAAAATGTATCCCAGCATGAACCAGTTGATACAAGCTCCAAATCTATCAGAAAAGCTGGATGATAATGTTGATCAAGGAGGGAAACTGACCAACATAGTAGATGTTTTTGTACAACAAATTTAAGAATACTTATCTAAGCATTGACTTAATCCAATGCTGTGAAAGAGTAAAAACTAAGCTTACCTCCAATCCCTGACTGCCTAATTTCACTCTTGAAAATTGAATTTGGGGCTCCTTCTCCATTTTGAAAGAAAATTGAAACTTAATTGTAGTCGCCTTCAGTAAAAAAAGGACTTGATTGAAGGCTTAGATACTGGCTAGCAGCCATAGTTGGAAAATAATGTGAACGCTCAGCACTTTTAAATACTATAACAATTTCTCCTGTTTGACTTGCCAACTTTTCCCGTTATTTTTAAACAAATCAGCTCGGTCCCAACCATTTTTATATTGATCGAGGAGATAAAGGGATTGGTGCCCACTTAATTTGTTTATAGGACAAGAGCATTTCCCTTTGAGAATGCTCGACCAAAATATCATCCCTGATTGTGACAAGAGCAACAAGTTTATCATGATTCTTTTTATTTAAAGATAGGTTTCGACTGGCAACCTGAACTTTCCAGACTTTAAAGAATCATGGATCCAGAAAGCATTTGGTAAGTGACAAATGTTCTTCCTTGGTACATATGGCACATTGCGTGGGATTGTAAACTCTGAATGCACTGTGAAATCTATAGAGTTAGCTGAAAAACAATCTATAGAAAGTTGAGTCTTGTGCCTTGTAGCACAGGCAGTCTCTTAATTTCAGGACTAGGTAATATTTTATTAGTTGTACCTTTCTTGGAGAGAGTTCTCTGAAGCAACTAGGACAGTTATGAGCAGATCAACTCTATACGGTACATTACAAATTCAATCACAAAGAAGATTTTGCCTCCTTGTGTTATCAACATGACATGCATTATTTTCTCCAAGAACAAGCTACCTTGATAACAACAGAGGAGAATTTTCATATCCACAGAGGCACAGCGTGCAATTCCTGATGCAGTAATGATAGTGTTAGAACACTTCTTATTCTTCACAAATGTACAGCTCTTCTCCAAGAGATCTGCTCTCAGTTACGAGCAAGAAGTTCAGCTTTTCTCATTCATTTTCAACAAGTATGTTTTACTCCAGATGAACTCTATCTTTTTGTGTAACATGCTTCATATTTGAGGGGGTATCAGCAAACTTCCAGGCATATTTAGATAAACTGGCTGCTTCTCTAGGGCCACTCACCTCATCAATAGGCACAGCATTGCATATTTCTATCAAATCCTCTTGTGTAAGCTTCAGTGCCAAGGAACCAATATTTTCTTTAATGTTCTTAAATTTAGTTGTCCCTGCATAATTCAAAGTAGAAAAACAAAGATTCATCAAACCATTATAACCTCAAATGAAGCTGCAAACCATGTTCATGAAGAAATTTTGCAGTGCAATTTAGGAAGATGAGAACAAAGGTAAGCAGCCATCAAGTAAGGCTCGATACGTGCACCACTATGAAAAGTAGCATTTGCAATATAGAGCAAAGCCCTTAAAGCGGACTTAACTAACAACATTCCCGTAGCTTCTGTAAGGGCAGGCTTGTGGATTAAATTCCATAAGTATGAAGATTATGTACAGAGAGAGAACCCAGATGTACCAGGGATAGGGATTATGTCATCTCCCTGGTGTAGAAACCATGCTAGAGTGAGTTGAGCAACTGTGCAGGCATGCTTTGTCGCCAGATTGGAAAGCCGATTATATATGATTTTGTTGTTCTCTAAATTCTCCCCGTAGAACCTTGGATGCATCCCCTGTTCCAGGGATGCCACACATTGGAGTAAGTTGAACAAGAGTCAAATTTAGCCATGTACTTATTGCACAAGTAAATAAACTCCAACATACGAACAAAATATTGAAGTATTATTAAGAGTTTGTTTCTGGCCACTTACAATCAAACTCCCATTGGGCAAACTCTCCACAACTGCCTTCCCACCAAAGAAGCCATGACCTAGAGGACTATATGCTACCATCCCAATCCCAAGCTCTCTGTACAAATAGATTTGAGGATTGATTGAAAGCATGGTGAGATAAATAATGCCCCTCCAAAATAAAGTCCAAGAAAGGAAAAAAAACTTTCACCAATGTAAGCATCTGACAAACCGGCAAAGTGGAATTATCTCATCTTCAATTTCACGGGTCCAAAGAGAATACTCCATTTGTAAGGCAGTGATAGGATGAACTGCTTGGGCTCTCCTTATTGTGTCAACACTAGCTTCTGACAACCCAATATATTTTATTTTTCCTTCCTCCACCAACTTCTTAAGCTCCCCCATCTGCCTTGTGAAAAGCATATCAAGGCTAACAGTTACAAGATCTAATGAGTCCGATAAAATTGATTATCAGTAAGAAGATTAAAGGTCTCTTGATACTTACTGTCTCCTCTATTGGCACTGAAGTGTCCACACGGTGCTGATAGTAGAGATCAATATAATCCACATCAAGCCGCTTAAGACTAGATTCACAGCAGTACCGAACATATTCAGGGGTACCCTTGATCTCAAATTGAAACCCCTCTAAAACAATAATACCAAATTTTGTTGCTAGTTGAATTTGATCTCGGGGAAGCTGCTTCAAGGCCTAAAAGTAAAAGAAAAATAATTTTGTTTATGTATGTTAGACTCCACATGTTTTTTTTTTTTTTTGAAAGTTAGATAGACTCATCATGTTACTCAGGCTATTTCACCATAAAAACATTTTGGGCAGAAAACATTAAAAATATTATATATTCACAATCCAAGTCCTTCCATACAAGTGAAGCAGAAGCTTGATTCACAGTTTTATTCCATATTCCACTTTGCTTTGGTGCATCTCCTCATACTTACTCTGTATTGGTTATTTAAGTTGATGTACAGTAAATCATTTTATCTATTATTTAAATGAAGAGATGTAATAGCTTAACAGATAGAAGGAGGAGAGGAGGAAACGGTAAGAGTGTACCTTGCCAACCATGATCTCATTATCATGGTTTTCTCCATAGACATCTGCTGTATCAAAGAAGGTGATACCACTGTAAAAAGCTTCCTTTATAACTGAACATCCATCTTCATGCGACAGAGGGGCATTTAATATTCCAGAAAGTCCTCCACATCCAAAACCTAGTCTAGAAACCTGCAGGCCAGAAGGTAACACAATGAGGCAAAAGACTTTAGTCATCATTCAACAAAAATACTACAAATACAAATTATAGCAGGCAATAAGATAGCAAAATAAAATAAAATTTTATGTTTGTACCATTCAATAACACTACCAACTCTATTAAGTTGTTTATAAATCGAGTTGCCAAATGAAACTTTTGAATCTGAATCCTACATTTGATTGGTTATTGCCCATATGATCTTGTTCTGGCATAGAACAAGTAATAATCAAAAACATTTTCCTTATCAAGGTGTGTTGAAACTTCAAAATAGGATGCAAAAAATAGTAAGGACCAAATTGAAATCGACTAATGAGTTTTTTTATAGTGTGAAGTAAGCTTGCTGAGAAGGACTAAGAACGTTAATTGGGAAATAGCTAGAGTATACACCAGTTTTTTCTTTTTTTCTTACCAATTTTTTTGACCATGAACTCCTTCATAGGATTCAAATGACTTTACCAATTACCCATGTTTCCACTCATACTGTTGTTTGGAACAAAAGCAAAAGAAAGTTTCCTTTTTTCCAATTCTTTCCTGCCCAAGTTTAGTAATTTTAAGTTTTATAAACATGAGACATGCAGAAGTAATAAAACCCAGAAAAGGAAAAAAAAGAAACAAGCAAACTAAAGTATTATCATCCTATCATTGAGGATATTGGCAAATAGTTGAGTTTTAAATTTAGAATTGTTGGTTGAGCAAGTAGAATCTGAGTTTTGTTTACCTCCAAGCCTTGATTGCCTAGTTTTACTCTTGGCATCTGGACCCTCTCTTCCATTTTCAGATAGCCAAAACTCCAATGCTCAGTTCCACTTTGAAGATGCTTTCATTGTTGATTGAATGGGACACACCTACAGCCTTTTACTTCACATGCCATTGCCAAATTTTGGCATTTGCAAGCCCGGCCCGACCCAAACGACTTGTCCGGTCTATTATAAACAGAGCCAATATGTAGCCAAGGTTTGGTAAACGACGTTGCCAGCGTGTAGCCAAGCGAAACGGTGCCGTTTTACACGTTATAAACGGAAGTATTAAACTGTTCTATAGTGGAACTGGAAGCTCAAATAAAAGTCAAAAAGTCCAAACATCTGACTTCTTCGTGAAATTGAACCAAATCAAATCAGGGAAAAAAAATTAAAAAAAAAAAACTCCAAATCGAAATCCAAAAAGATGGAAAAGGGATGGGGAAAGATGTGGGCTTTGATGGTTTTGCTTCTTTTGAATTGGGTGAGTAACATTTCCTCCCTTTCGGTGACTGTAAACGAAGTCGAGTGCGTGTATGAATACGTGCTTTACGAAGGGGACACGGTTTCAGGCAACTTCGTCGTCGTCGACCACGATATTTTCTGGAGCTCTGATCACCCCGGCATTGATTTCACTGTGAGTTTATTACCTGATCTCTAAATTCGATGTCTTTTTCGTGAAATTTTGGTTGATTTGATGTCTGGGTATTGGATTCCTTACAGTAAAAGTCACGTTCTGTTTTAATTTTTTATGTTTAGGCGTTGAATTGATTAAAGGTTTGTTTTTTTTGTGATATTTTGAGACTTTTGATATCTTGTTTTTGCTGGAATCATGGGGACTTTCTTGGATGAATCATTTTGGGTGGGTTTTAATTAGTAAAATTTTGATCCCCAGGTGTTTGATTTTGTTGGGTTTAAGGTTAATGTAAACGTTTTTAGTGTGTTGAGAAGGGGGTTTCTTGTTTAGGCTCATGCATTTGAATTGGCTTGATTGGATCTGTAGGATATCTAATTTTGTCGAATTTAGGCTATTGTTGCTAGTATTGTTTAAGGAGCCTTTTGGAATGCTTGCTTTTGATTTTCCTTGAAAAGGAGCTGATTATAGTCTGTCTAACCTCTTGCTTCACACAGGTGACTTCTCCTGGGGGTAATACAGTTCACAATTTGAAGGGGACATCTGGGGACAAGTTTGAATTTAAAGCCCCACGAAGTGGAATGTACAAATTTTGTTTTCACAATCCCTACTCTACACCAGAGACTGTTTCTTTCTATATTCATGTTGGCCATATTCCCACTGAGCATGATCTTGCCAAAGATGGTTCGTTATATTTTCATTGGCGTATTTTGAAGTCTATATCTCTTTCTTTGTAGTGCAAGCTGTGAATCACTGTTATTATTGGCATTCAATTTTGACTCTTTAACATTTGAGTTGCTTTTTGTACACTGTGTGTAGAATACATTGCATGCTATTGTTATTTTCCTTCACAGTTGATATTTGTCTTTAATGATCTTCTTTGTTACAGAACATTTGGACCCAATTAATGTTAAAATTGCTGAGCTGAGAGAGGCTTTGGAGTCTGTAACAGCAGAACAAAAGTACTTGAAAGCGCGTGATGCTCGGCATCGTCATAGTAAGTTGCGACCATCCTGCTTATCCGTTGAGTTGATAATTAGGGATTACTATTTAATAGTTTTAGTCTGCGAGCTGCCAGCAGATATTATCCATGCAGAAAGTTTCCTTTGTTTTTGGCTACTGGGGTGGTTATGTCATTTAAGAGTTTCCCCTTTATATGTATTTATTTTGGTTCATTTTTCATTCTTCTATCTCTTTCTCAGACTACGTCACCGCCAACAATCTTGATCTGAACCAACAAGAATCTCGACAATATTGCCATTATAAGCATTTAGATTCTTTTCAGCCTCCCACAGTTTGTTACCCTGCTTGATGTTATGAGAAATTCTTACTAACAAGCATGGTTATGAGGAGATGTGTTAAGTTGTCTGTAAATTCCATGAAATGTGTCTTTTTAGTGCTAAGTACAGTTTGGTGAAACTATTGAGATAGCCACTGGCTGCATGGTTCCAAAATTTGAAAGAAATCTTGGCTTAATTAGCATTAGACTCATGAAAGGAGAAATTTTCCTATGTAATAAATAGTTAGATTGCTAAGAGATCTAGAGTGACAAAAAACTTGCAGACCCATGCATATATGATTTAGGGTTTATATTTGATGCATTGTCAATATATGGATTTTATACACTATCAGTGAACCAAATGTTGCTATCTCATTAATAAGTAAATTTAATAGTTGGGAACCCTCAAGAATAAATACTCATAATTTGAAAAATATTTATTTTGGATGACTTTTGAACTTTAGCTTTCTACATTTATTAGATAGCCCTATGTGGTTAAGTGATAGTATAGATACTATACATTGACAGTGAATCCAATATAAACTGTTTGACACAATTTCCCACTGCCTCGGGATAACCAAAATTTGTCAGGCATTACATCAACTTAGATGTCTATGAATATGCAGATTTGTTTGCCTTATTTTATTTGTTTTTGGTACTTAATTCTATGGTTTGCCATTTCCTGCCATATTCACATCATATTTATGAATGCGTGTATGTATGAGGATCAATAAATTATCTGTGGTAATCAATATGAAACTTCTTAGGCATCTAATTATTATTCTGGAGAAAATAGAGATTGAAGTCTCAGGTTCTAGAAAGTACATGATATACTGCAAGAGATTATGTGTATTTATTTCTAGTGTAATGGTAGTTTCATTTGGATCTTTGTAAAAGCCATAATAGTTGTGTTCATTCTTTATGATATCCTCTGATAACATTGTTATTAATTTTTATTTCTACATCGAAATTTCCAGTAGGAGCCTATGAAGACTTCAACAAGTTTATTATTAGGGCCTTGTTGAGTTGTGAAACTAACATACGAACACTAGAACAGCAGAACCTCTAGGTGTTTGCAAATTGTTGGAGCTAATAGGAATTGTAGGCTTTCTTTTCTTTTTGTTCTTACTTTATTTTTTGGAGAGTTGCATCCCACTTTATTCATCGAAGCAAAGCTCAAAGAGACCTTAGTGCAGCAAGAAATGTCTACTGTACAGAATAACTGTGTGATTGATGGTTTTCTCCTATTTGATTCACTGGCATCTATAATTTTTTTTTGGAAGTCACTGGCATCTATATGACTGTATCACATTTGTAGAACACCAATGCCATGCTGTAATATCTTTGAATATGGCAAACTTTGCAATAGTTCCTTATATACCATATGATTGGCATTTGCTTGCAGCAAATGAGAGCACGAGAAAGCGTGTTATAGGCTACACAGTTGTAGAGTACGTTCTGCTAGCTCTTGCCAGTGCACTTCAAGTCATCTATATCCGCCAGCTCTTCAGCAAATCAGTTGCTTACAACCGAGTTTGAGCCACCTGATTGTACTTTTAGTTCTCTGTTCCATTAACCAGAGAGTCACAGGGACAAATCCTATAGATGAGTCACGAGTTCAACAAAAATCCGAATCGTGTAATAGGTCACTTTGGTGTTTTATGTTATTCGAGTCTTGTATTTCAATTACAATGTAGCTTTTTGACCCTAAATGTTTTAGACTAACTTTTATCAAATTTGAGCTACCTTTTTTTTCCTTATCCTGAGCCTCACTAGCAGCTGTACAATGCTTCCACCCAGTCTGATGGAGGGCTGGCTTAATAGTTAATAGTAATAATGGCTTTCATGAATAATAGAAGAATTTGCCAAGTTTGGTTTCTTGCTTCTATTGCAAAGCTACCATTACTTCAGGGAAAAACTTTCAAAACTGTCAATAAAATATAAAGGATTGCATAAAAGATTTAGCCAGCATTCCACCGACCATTTTCAGTTTTCATGTGCAAGCTTACCAAAATGTTAGAGATTTTGGTAACACAAATAATGTATTTAGCAAGTGACAGGTGGGGGAACAGATTTGCAGAGCCTTGTTAAGTCTAAGATATCTAATTATTTTTTAATTAAAAAAATATTTTGCTGACTAGAAAATGGGACCCATTAGAAGGGCAAAAATGAATTTAGGCATTTAATTCGGAAAACTTCTGGAAATTAGCAAAGAATTGACTGCAAATTTAGACCCATTACCCAAATCATTGACTTTGTTGTGTCTTTTGTTTTTATTTTTTTTTCTTTTCCCATGTGGCATCTACTTTCTCAAAGAAGGTTTTTTCTTTATTATTTTTTTATAGTTTTTATGATATTCTACAGCTGTGTCCACCACCGCCACTTGCCACTCAATTTCCGTACTATATAACATTTATGAATCCTAAGTTCCGAAACTACCCTTTCATTCTTTAACTATGATTTAGTCAAAGACTTTTTTTTTTTGTTTACAATTAATTGGATTGTCCTTTTGCAATTGCAAAAATCACTGACTAATGATTCTTACCATGAAAAGTTAACCATAAATCACGGGACCATAAGCACATTTAAGCTTGTAACTTAACGGTTTTATTTTTAAATAAATTTATAATTTTTATTTCAAGTGCTTTTAATGTACTTATTAAATTTATTATTAATATAAAAGGATATCCTAATCAAATAGATTAAAATCATCCTACTAATAATTAAATTTTACATTAAATACAATTTTTTTTTGGAAAATATCCATTGAGTTTTCTAGATAAAATACCCCGTTCACAGAAACTATGAGAATATTGTATCTTTTTTTCTTGTAGTTAAATCTTCACCAGACAAGGGCAGTATGGGAAATGGAAAACTGCCTTAAAATGCTTATATAATTCTCCGAAATTTCTCCTACAAAAGTTCACATTCGTCATTTTTGCTACTACGTCACAGATTTTCTATCATTCGATACCCTGTAATCAAAGAAAGATCAAGAGCCCTTTTTTGGGTTTGTTTCTGTGGGAGCTTTGGATCTTTGCAAACAAAGGGGGAAAACAATGCTAGCAGTTTTTGACAAATCGGTTGCCAAGAGCCCAGATGCTCTTAATGCTCCTGATCACTCCGAGGCAGTGTCTGCTCTCCAAAATGGATTCTTGGCTAACCACTTTGGCTCTATTCACCCTGGTTCTGTTACCGTCAATCTGGGCTCTGCTGGTGTCATGGCTTACTCTCTTGAAAAGCAGAACCCACTTCTCCCTAGGTAAGAATTTTCTCTCTCTTTTCATCTTCTTCATGATGCACAAGATTTCATTTTTGGGTTCTGTTTTCTCTTCTTGCTTGGTGGTTTTTGCTTGATCTAGCCCCGATCGTTTCCGGGTTGTTTTGTTTCTCTGCTTATTGGTTCACGGCGTGGTGAAATTTTGTAGAAAGCTCGTGTTTTTTCCCTTTGTTTTCTCTGTTTTCTTTTTTCATTTGTTTTACTTTAATCTAATCATGCTGTGTAGATGAGTTGTACTTGTGATAATACGTTTTATTTTCGCATGGCTTATAATGTGATACAAAGATTTTATGTGATTATTTATTTGGAGTAATCCAAGTTCTTGTTGGTTTGATTTGCTTCTTAGATCTTTTTTCACATTACTTGATATTTTGTTGGTTGTTCTGTTATTTGCGGGCAGGATAAGATTTGTGATTAATAGATGCAATTGTTAGTTGATTGTTTTCTTCCCGCAAAGGGAAAAAGAGAATGAAATATCTGAAGAAAAGAATAATTGGCATCAATGGCTGTCTGCTAGTCATTGATGACTTGTCTTGCTAGATTTTTGAGTTGTCTTCTGTTTTCTAGTATTATGTGATGAGAATGCAGCTTGAGAAAATTCTGCTGGTGAAATCCTTGAGCAGGGTGTCATTTAATGATGCATATCATAAGTTCTTTTATGATAAACTTTTAATATAACAATTTTCTTGTTTCTTTGTTTTCTTTAATTTAATGCCTTACCAGGCATGATTTGTTTTATTAGATGATATTCTCTTACCATGGGATGTAGACATTGAGTATAGTCCAAAATTAAAGATCTACTATTATGGTTGGAGAGAGACAAAAGATAGATTGACTTGATTGGATCTAGTCTATTCCATATTCTTTTTGGATTAATTATTTCATCGAACATGAGCATCTTATCTATGCAGTTCTCCTTTCTTGAACTTAACATGGTTTTGGATTTTGCATAATTTGTTTAGTTTATTTAACTCACCTTCCTTGAGAAGCCGGTTTAAAATCGTATGATCATACTTAATAACTTCATGACTTAATTATTTCCTATATCAGAATTTATTCTAAAAAGGTTATAAGTTTGTCTGTTCTTTTATTGTTTTCACGTGGAGATTGAGAAATTGACCTTTTCATATTCTTCCTTTTTTGTTCCCAGACTTTTTGCAGTTGTGGATGACATTTTCTGCCTGTTTCAAGGCCACATTGAGAACGTTGCTGTTCTTAAGCAACAATATGGCTTGAACAAAACTGCAAATGAGGTGATAATTGTCATTGAAGCTTACAGAACCCTCAGAGATAGAGGCCCTTACCCACCTGACCAGGTTGTAAGAGATATCCAGGGAAAGTTTGCTTTCATTCTCTATGATAGCTCTTCAAAAGTCACATTTATAGCTTCTGTAAGTAAACCTTTTTGTCCATAATTTTTGTCATCTAATACCATGGATGTCTCTTATTTGATTTTTTTTTTTCATCAATTTTAGTCTCCTATATGATTCAGTTGTTTATCTTTGTCTTGTGCAGGATGCTGATGGAAGTGTACCTTTCTTCTGGGGAACTGACGCTGAAGGCCATCTTGTTCTTGCTGATGATGTGGAGACTGTGAAGAAGGGCTGTGGGAAGTCTTTTGCCCCATTCCCCAAAGGTAAGACTTAATGGAAATATGCTAAATTTATTGTCAATTAATAAGTTATTTGACATGCTTATGCTCTCTTACTTTTTTAAGTAATCTGATTGGACAAAATGGGGGAATAGACTTGGGTAAAGATTAAAGCATGTTTGAAGTGGATTTTGAGACTAGTGTACAATGACAGCGAAAATCAAGGTGAATTGGAAATTGAATGAAAGTCAAGGTGGAATGGGAAATTGGGATGGCATACAGATTTCTATGCATAAATTAGCATATGATATAACTCTTTGCATTTGTTTCCTTTATTTAATCTGTCGTAATTATTCTATGTTCTTTTATATCGCAAACATTAGTTTAATATTGGATCATCTATCTATTTCTTATCTTCATGCGTGTTGTTTAGTTTTTCTTTGTTGTCCCTAACTAGGGGTGTGGGCTGTCGGGTTTGTCGGTTTCGTTCAGTTTTGACCAAAAACCGACCAAAAATTATTACAATATAACCGACCGAACCGCATATAATGTAATGTCGGTTTCGGTCAGTTACAATAACCGACAGTGGCGGTCGGGTTGGGCGGTCCCAACTGACCGTCGCACAGTCCTAAGAGGGGGAGGAATTTCGTTAGGTCGGCAACTCTGGTTGGGGGGGGGGAATCAGGTCGGGACTCTGTGGGAGGTGGGGGGGATTTTGTTAGGTCAGTGGACTTGGGGCATCGGGAGGGGGACGGTGGGATCGCGGGGGGGAATAGGGGATCGGGGGGAATTTCGTTAGGTCAGTGGACTCGGGTGGGGGAATAGGTCGGGACTCGGGAGGGGGGGTGTGGTCGCGGGGCGGGGCCCATGGGTTCTCTAGTTTTTCGGTCGGTTCAGTGGAGAAAGTCCCTCCTGACGACCGAGCCGATCAATCGACGAGGGCCGATCGGAACAACCGACGGTGGCAGTCGTTGGGCGGTCCCAACCAACCATCGCACGTCTTATCCCTAATTGTGATTTATTGTTCTGAATTTAGGAGTATGAGAATTTTATTGCTGATGTTTTTTATATTTATTGTTTTTTTTCAGGTTGCTTCTTTACATCCTCTGGTGGGTTAAGGAGCTTTGAGCATCCCCTTAATGAGTTGAAGCCTGTGCCAAGGGTGGACAGTTCAGGTCAGGTTTGTGGTGCAACTTTCAGTGTGGATGTAGAGACAAAAAAGGAACCCACTGGAATGAAAAAAGTTGGAAGTGCTGCAAACTGGTCCTCACACTACTGAGCTTAGAAATGTCTCCTGTTTAGCGAGGCTTTTGTTATTTGTGAGCCTCCCGCTTTTATCCATCTTTCCTAGTCTCCAATTGCTAATATCCTATCTCGATGACTTGGCTGAGCTAGTGGATATTCAAACTCTAAATTGTTGTCAGCCTTTTTAAAACTAAGACAGCATTTTATGCAGCTGTACATGTTTGCTTACCATCATAACTGAGCTTGACGTGGTACATAACATGGAATAATATTTCTTCTCATAAAGGCTGCAAATCTCTTTGTCTGACTGGTTTTTCCTCTCTAGTAGCTTTTGGAAGAGTGATGTTCTACTACTCACATTGTGCACTTCTTTGCAAAAGGAAAACTTTGCTATGTATTATATCTTGTCCGCACGTATAAAAGAACTTAGTGTATGGGTGGATTATACAAGGAAAGGCGAATCCTTTCCTGCTACATAAAGTTCTAAAAGGAGGGACTATAAACAGTCAATTAAAAAAAAAACTGTTTTGTCGATAGTAAGAAAATGTCAGTACATTACTTTGCCCTGTCTGGTGTAGCTAGCGGTCTTGGTCTTACCTCTAAGTTTAGTCCTTTGCATCTGCAATGCCCCCTGGCGTTATCTGAAACACGTGCTTCTGTCAAGTATAACTAAACAACAAAGTGGAACTTCTCTTAAATGTTGCTTTGCAAGCTAAGATTTCTCTACATGCTTTATATGAGGAGTCTTTATTAAGGTCGCTGATCATGATGAACCTTGCTGGTGAGCCATTTTGGGTTTGACCATACTATTTGGAGTTAGTCATATGGGCAATCAAGACAAATATACATATATATATATATATATATATGAACGAATTTAAAACAGTAGCAGTGGTCACGTAAGGATATTGCTTCAGCTTCAGGAAGATTTGGGGCGTCAAACACCTTGCAGACCCGCTGTTCACCTTTGCCTTTCCTGAACATCAACCTTATTGTGGCTGCGTGGGCAAGCACGTGCCCTCCGGCTGGTTTCTTTGGATCTGATATGAACACTCCACCACCAGGGTCTGCAATAACTGCAACAAACAATCCAAAAATATAATTTAGAAATGGACCTCTATTTGGGGCCCAGTTGGTAGAATTAGGTTGCTAATTTGCTGCCTAACGATCTTGGTTGTCGACTTATAGCTTTGCCTCTGGAAAGGATCAAAAACTAAAGTGGTTAACCAGACTGATTGGACTTAAAGTACCTTGGTTGGTCATGTAGACTGCAACATTGAATTCTTCAGCTATTTTTGTTAACCGGGAGAGCATCTGAGCCAATTTTTGCTGCGAATGACAAATGGTTCATATGATGAAAGAGAACAGACTCAAAACCAAGGTTTCACATAAATAAGTTGCAATAGGCTTTTTCCACCTGGCGCTCTGCAAGTTCTCCTCTCCCAGTGAAATCCACTCGAAATAGAGCAATGACAGAATCCACAATCTGAAAATATGAGCGTAAACAAACATGATCAAACAGACTCCGTAATATCAGCATTATAGAATGAATCTATCAACGAGACTCACCAGAAGTCTGAATGGTTCTTCAGACATTTTTGCTGCCAAACCAAGAAGCAGGTTGTACTGATGCTCATATGTGTACGCACGAGCATAAACGATCTTTGACATTCAAAGAAGATAAGCAATACGCGACATCTGTTTCTACAATTCAATTGAGGTTATACGGATATCAATGCTTACATTGTCAAGGACAGCTCCTGGGTCCATCCCAAATCTTTCCGCTATGGGTATAATTCTATCAGGCCGGCTGCAAGTGCATGAAGTTGAAGAAAACATAGTGACTCTAGTTTGGAATTCTATGTAGATAGTACTCTTATTTTAGTTATCTTCTTACGAAAGAGAAACTATAATACGTAACTTGAAATATTAAAAGTAAAAACAGAACGGATACAAAGTTCCTTCAGTATCAATGTAAGCCACTTTCCCATTCCCACCTCGCATATTTGTAGGGAGCTGCAAAGGCAATATAAATATCTGATCAACAAAGTTCAACGCGGATGTGGTAAATATAGTCAGCTAATTGAACTAAACCTATACCATCCACGGAGCATGACAATTTAGCAACATTAATCTATGTTCCCTAAAGCAGCACTTGAAAACAATTCATTTGGTTGACAAATAAATTCTCAATTATGATATACTCCTGCCTACTGCTGAAAACAAATCCAAAGATAAATGAACAAACGTGATTTATCATATATTTTTATGATTCAGACATGTGGCACACCCAGGGGTTTTCTCACTCCAAGAGTCAATTTGGGACAAAACGAATCTCCTCCAAATCAAACCGTATAACAAGCGTAGTTTGAAGTTTATTTAACAGGGTGAAAATTAAATATCTTCTTGTATCCCCAAGTCCTAAGGATTTATAAAAATCTCACAATTATGGATCACAAAGGTGAGAAAGGAACCTGTGTAGAAACACATAGAGTATGTGCCAGCTGTGTTTTGCCACACCTAAATCAACATTGAGATTAGAGAGCAATATAATCATGCATTAGGGTAGACATGAACCAGCAGGAAAGATTTTAACAAGCAAATGATATAGTAGTATTTAATGTCCATATGAAGAAAGCAGCAAACTATGTGCTGTTTTTCTTACCTAAATTCTCCAAAAGCTTCTGTGATAGCCAGAGTTTCTATGCCACCTTTGAAGGTTTGGGCAAAAAAATCATTTACAGAGAACTCTAATCAAGAAATCATTTAACAGTAACATAACATCTCCCAAAAGGCGAAAGTTACCCCCTAAGAGTTCATCAAGGGCTTGGCTTCCGGTTGTGATGCGAATCACGGATTTTCTCTACAAAGCCAAAAACAAAGAAATACCCAAATCGCATTCAGTTTTACCGCAAAATGTAAAACATAAATAAATTAAAAAGGAAAACATACAATTTGAACTTACTTTTAGTAGAGCATCGCTTCCAGTGATATAACCATAATTCTGAGGCAATAAAACATGAAAAAGCTAGAAATCAGGAATTTGATAAAGGACAAAAAAGAGAAACAAATCAATGATGTAATTAATTTAACTAACCACTATTTTCTCAGCAGCTTCACAGATCTTATCAACCTTAGCTTCAGATAAACCTTTGATTCCAGTCAAGTGCTGCAAAAGAAAATTGAAGATAAATAATAATTTTTTAAAAAATACCCGCCATAAAATTAAAAACTCCAATTATTTTGAAATTTATATTTACCTTCTTAGTGTGCATCATCAAGCCGTTGCAGGTGTAGATTCCTGCATCTTGAAGCTTCTTCACGTCTCCGGCATTGATTCCTGCAGATATCACTGCACAAAAAAAAAATGCAGTTCAAATCCAATATACTGAACAGGTTGTTGAGCATCTGATCAAAGCATGGAAAAATACTAAATATCTAAATGATCTTCTATGTATAATGAAATTTGATGACATAGCAAAGAGAAATGCACAAATCCATCTATTTCAACGACAATTTTTCAAGCGACATCGACAAAACATACTTAGACTTACAACTGTGTTGAACAGAGAATCACGGCACGCAGGTCCGAGGCTCAAAAATTGATCTCAAACGAACGGAGAAAGAAATAGAATTTCTAGAATACTCCTGAAAATCGTAACAACTCATAGATCTTTAAACAAACAACTAAGTCTAAAACTTAAATCGCAAATATACGATCAAAATTATCCAAAAAAAAAAAGGAAGATCAAAATGTAGATTGAAAAAGCGAACAAGCTAAAGCGAGAACATGAAGAATCGTAGACAATAGATATGATTCAAAAATCTTCAAAACGAAATCTATACGAATATTAGTTAATACGTAAAAGGAAAACAAATAGCAGAAAAACATAGAATGACAAAGAGTGAATGGAACAAAACGAGAATCTGAAGGAGCAGAATAGTTTACATTTGTCGATGGCTTCAAACAGATCCTCTTCGTCATCGATATCTTCTCGCTCCACCAGCTGCAACTGGCTCGCTTCTTCAGCTCTGATTTTCATGCAAATTCTCGTTTACGATTCAAACAAGCAAAAGAAAAAGGAAGAACAAGAATGCCAAAAGGAATGTCTAACTTACTTGAGAGTAGCGATCATCTTCGTTGCAGTAGATAATTGCTCTTTGTTTTTCGCGCGAGAGAGAGAAAAAAAAGAGAGGGAGATTTTGATTTGAAATGGGATTGAATTAACGAAGGACGTAATTTATATTATATTTGTGCAATGGAATGCCCTCTAAACGACGCCTGAGATCCGCGTTTGCATGTGTGAGATGAGAACGACTCTGTTAGTCGTTTGGTTTGAGAGTTCAGAGCCGGTTATGATCTATACGATGGATACAATAAGCCGCTTATGTTGCCATGTCAGCCTATCGTCCCCGTTATAATACACTATTTTTAAGTAAACTAGCGTAACTTGAAGTCCATTTATTGGTCAAATCAAATTCCTTATTTCTCAAAGAACGAAAACAAAGTTGATATTGGGCCAATTAATATGTGTTAATATAATGATGGTCATCGAATCTAGAGTGATGGATTAATCCTAATTTTAAACCTTTGAACTAAAAAAAGTACTATATATATATATGTATTTATGTATATTAAAAATAATTTTTTTTAGATTACAAGATTTAAGAGTGGACATTATATTAACCCCAGAGTCAATCATTAAGAAAGATGGATCAATTTACAATCTGAAAATTATGGTTCATATTGACAAATTTAGTATGTAATTACAAATTTCAAATACCATATCTAGCCTTAGACCAAGAATTTGGAAATGACCAATACTGTTAAATAATCCTATGCTTTGCTGATTTTTATGTTTATATGGGAAATATGACTGGTGCTACCTGTCTGTGGATAAATTTAAAAGTACGTTTATTTATACACCAAATTTTGATTTTATATACTTTTAATTGTTGAAATTTACTATAAGGACGAAACTAACAAAGTTTTATTGACAGGCCAAAAACAGAAAAATAAGAACTAAAACTTTTAAAAATTAATATATTTAAATTAAGCAACAATCAAAAAATTTCATAATAAAGAATAATTTTATATAGTATGTAAATTAATAAAAAATGACTTACAATAATTTTTTAATAAAGTTGCAGGCATCAATTATTTTTTATCTAAATTCATCAATTATTAATTTTGTATTAAAAGATATCCATTTATTCAAAATTAAATCTTTGATGATTTTATTTGCATTGTTCTTGTTCATGAGCTGTAACATTAAGACTTAGTAACTCAAGTCTAGGAGAATTATTTAATCAATTTGTATTTTTATTTTTAAAAATTTATCAATTATTTTCAACTTATTGGTACTTTAATCAAGCTTCAGAAAAAAAAATAATACAGTCAACATCCAATATTCTTATTTTAATTCTATTTAAACTTATAATACTAAGTATAAAATTATAATGCATAAAATATAAATAGTTAAAAATGATATACAAAATTAATAATTTCTTTTTATATGATTAGAATTAATTAAAAAATGATACATTAATCAAATTTTAAGTAACAGTGTAATATTACAACTGATATTTGACAATTATATAATATTTTTTTATTTTTTAAAATTAAAATCATAGAACATAAAATTAAGATAATAGAAAAAAAAACATGACAACTAGAAAATATAATCCACAAATGACATAATAAAAAAGAAAGAAAAAAAGAGAGTAAAAATTTAGAGAATAAAATTTATAAAAATTTAAAACATATGAACAAATAAAATATAAATATAAATATAAATTGAAATAAAAAGATAAAAGAAAACTTTACATTTTCTTAATTTCACATAATGGTGTTGAGTAGTCTCATATTTCTTTGTTCAAGTTAGCAAGTTCATAAATTTCTTTTAAAAAATAAAATATATTTCGGTGATGAGTTACAAATAATAAAGTAAAATAAAAATAAAAATAAAAAAGAGAAAAGAAAAAGAAAGAACCAAAGAGAAGTGAAGAAACTTAACGAGTTAATATTGGAAAATTTAGTAGAACATGTGCAAGGGCATAGGGTAGTTAAGTAATGAGAGGCCGTGATTCTCTCAAAAATTTTAAAATATTATATTCATTAAACATATATACTTTAATTAAGAGTGAAAGACAGTATGTTTATTAGGGTCATAACCCCTCAAACAAGTATTTTATATTTTTAAATTTTTTAAAATAATTTATTATTTAATAATTAATATAAATAAAAAATAATAAAATGATATCATAAATCATAATCAATTATATCATAATTTTTAGGTTTCTCTACACTTCTTTTTTTCTTTCTCTTCTCTTTTGTCTTTTTATTTTTTACTTTTTGAAAAGCATTACATGAAATTTCATTACTTAATAGATGTATACAAAACCTACCTCATTTTTGTAATATTGCAACAAAAACATATAAGACATGTCCCTAATATGAGTTAAGTTACATATAATGAAGCAATCTACCGGCAAAAACAACCAAAGTTTAGAGTCATTTCTTTTTGAAACACATGGCTCCTGCATAATCTCCATATAAAGCTCTTTGGTTTACACAAAATTTTAGTAAGTATTGATTGTTGTCCTTACTGAACAAACTTTAGTCTAACTATATATCAATATCGAAAGAAAAATTAATTCATTTCTCTAGTTTTGATTTATAAACTATCATAGAAAATCTTTATCAATTTTCAAACCAACAATATAGTGTATAAATACGAATCTTGATGGGTTGCACATATTATGAAGTTAGAACAAGCAAGCATTACTTTTTTATTTTTATTTTCCTATCTTATTTATAATTCACTATTAAAACACATTTCATTTTTTAAACATCGAACACAATTCTTTTAAAAACCTATTGTAAATTTTTTTTGTTTCTTTTAATTTATATGTTATATAAAATTGTTATATACTATACATCTTTTACTTATTAGTTAAGTTTAACATATTAGTTTTTAAAAATTTTAATTTTTATTCCTCTTCATCTTTAGTCTTCTAACAAAAGTTGACTAGTTTCGCTACTAAACATGTGAGTCATTTTGTTTTATTTAAGATTTAGGGTAAAATTCTTTTTTAGTAGTAAATAAGGGTGGATCTGCCCTTGTTTATTAAGAGAATATATTATAATTTTATATTCTTACTTTTTTTTTGGTAGACACATGTTTCTTAATGATCAGAACATAAAAATGTACAAATAGTCAATTTAAAAAGTTAAGTATTAAAATTTTAAAATTTGAAAAAATCAAATTTACTTTTTCAAACAACAAAACGAATCGAATTAATATCCTTAACAACAAAAAATTGACAAAACATATGCTATATTTGTTGATTGCTTTGTTTTTTTGTTTCATCCTCTTACCAATTTCCTTCATTTTACTTTCTTTTTTATTTTAATAATGAGAAGGTTCTGTCATTGAAATAAATTTTACTTTAAAATATCTCAATAATTAAAATTTCAAATTTTAATTAAAAAATATTTAGTTGGAATCTAAAATACCTCAAATAAATCTATTAGTAGACTGTGCGTAAAAGACTAAAAAAAAAAATCTTCCAATTTATATTTCACTTGGCCACCAATAATGACTGCCCCACTTTCAGCTGCAGGTTATTTTTGTCATTCCGAAAAATCCCACTAAAATCAAATTAAATTATAAGAAATTACATATCATCTTCCTTCTAAAAAGAAAAAAAAGAAAAGGAAAACGACTGTAGAAGTACTACGGTTCCTCTAGATTCTAGGGTTTCTCTTTCTTCAACTGAAAAAGCCAGGGGAGAGGTACCTTTCGAACTTTTTCCCTCTCCGTTCCTTCTCTTCAATTTCCTTGTAACTTTCTCTCCAATTTTCCCAACGTTTTCCTCCTTACCAAACAGATCTCTTGTTCAAAGCCTATCCCCAACCCTCTTTTCCCTAGCAAATCCCTATTTCTTCTTTCCCCTCCCCGTTTCCCCTCTCTAAGAGTACAACTTTGCCCCCTAACCCCAATGCAGCTCCCTGACTCTACCGATGTCGTTGACACCCTACCGGAAAACCCGGACCAAAAACCCAACCAACAAAAGGAGGAAAACGACAACGATGAAAATGACACCGACAACGCCGCCGTCACCTCCGCTGTCGACGGCGAAGCTGACGACAACAACAACCATAGTAGTACTGGTACGGTTGAAGACTCGGTTCTCGATGTTTCCGGGAAAAGCGTGGAGTTTTCGATATTGGAAGAGTCGGGGGAGTCCGTGGACGGGCTTTATTTATACAAAAACGTGTTCAATTTGATTCCGAAATCAGTCGGGGCGTTTAGTCGGTTAAGGAATTTGAAGTTTTTTGGAAACGAAATTAATTTGTTTCCGGCAGAGGTTGGGAGTTTGGTAGGATTAGAATGTTTGCAGGTGAAGATATCGTCGCCGGGATTTAATGGAATGGCTTTAAGAAAGTTAAAAGGGTTGAAAGAGCTGGAACTTAGTAGGGTTCCGCCTCGGCCTTCGGTTTTGACTCTGTTGAGTGAGATTGCCGGGCTTAAGTGCTTGACCAAGCTTTCTGTTTGTTATTTTTCCATTAGGTATGTGTTTTATCAACAATTTTAGCTTTTTTGAATTTATAATTCTATAATCTTTTGGGTTAGGAAAATTTTCAGCTTTTTTCTTATATGTTTTTATGTGCATGCTATATTATGTTTTTGGTTTGTTCCATTCATTAATGTTATTCCAATTTAGAAAGTGATTAGGAAATGTGCTGTCAAAGCTGAACTTAACACAGGAATAAAGGGGATTAAAGAATAATGTAAACTGTTAATTAAGATTCTGCTATCCTACTGTTATTTGTGAACAGTAAAAGTGTGGATAAGGGGTCTATCGCTTTTAAGTTTTTGTCCTGCATTAACAAGGGATTTACTGTAGAATTGTTTGGATAGATTGAGAAAACCACAATTTGAATTCGAATTGTTCCCTTTTCCTGCAGATACCTTCCTCCAGAAATTGGATGCTTAAAGAATTTGGAATATCTGGATCTTTCATTCAATAAGATAAAGAGTTTGCCAATTGAAATTAGTAATTTGAATGACTTGATTTCATTGAAAGTTGCCAATAATAAATTGGTGGAACTACCCTCAGGGCTTGTCTT